GGTGGATCACGAGGTCAAGAGATCGAGACCATCCTGGTCAACATGGTGAAACCCCATCTCTACTAAAAATACAAAACATTAGCTGGGCATGGTGGTGCGTGCCTGTAATCCCAGATACTCAGGAGGTTGAGGCAAGAGAATTGCCTGAACCCAGGAGGCAGAGATTGTGGTGAGCCAAGATAGCGCCATTGCACCACTCCAGCCTGGGTAACAAGAGTGAAACTCGGTCTCAAAAAAAAAAAATTTTTTTGAGACAGAGTTTTACTCTGTTGTCCAGGCTGGAGTGCAGTGACACGATCAGCTCAGTGTAGACTCTTACTCCTGGTCGCAAGCCATCCTCCTGCCTCAGCCTTTCAAGGTGTTGGGATTATAGGCATGAGCTATTGCACCCAGCCTGGGGCAAGACATTTATTTCTTTTCTGCTATAGACTTCCTTGGGTAGTGATTTGATCACCCCAGGTAATACTGTCCATGAGGACCGTGCAGATCAAATGTTGTGTATAAGAATGAGCACAGATTCTTCAGGGTTTTTCAGAGGTTGAGGGCCCTTCAAGATAATTAAACTTTTTTTTTTTTTTTAAATTTAGACAAGATCTCACCATCACTTAGGCTGGAGTGCAGTGGTGTGATCATGGCTCGCTGTGGCTTTGACCTCTTCAGTTCAGACACTCAAGTAGCTGGGACTATAGGTGTACACCATCATGCCTGGCTAACTAAAAAAATTTTTTTTTAATTTGAGATAGAGTCTCACTGTGTTGCCCAGGCTGGAGTGCAATGGGGTGATCTTAGCTCACTGCAACCTCCACCTCCCAGGTTCAAGCCATTCTCCTGTGTCAGCCTCCCAAGTAGCTGGAATTATAGGCATGCACCACCATGCCTAGCTAAGTTTTGTATTTTTAGTAGAGACGGGGTTTCACTATGTGGGCCAGGCTGGTCTCGAACTCCTGACCTTGTGATCTGCCCACCTTGGCCTCCCAAAATCCTGGGATTACAAATGTGAGCCACTGTGTCCAACCAAAAAAAAATTTTTGTGGAGGCAGGGTCTCTCTGTTGATCAGGCTGGTCTCAAACTCCTAACCTCAAGCATTCTTCCCTCCTTGACCTCCCAAAGTGCTGGGATTACAGGCATGAGCCGCCACACCCAGCCAAGACAATTGAGCTTAACCTCCTTGCTTTATGGTTGGGGAGGCAAAGGCCTAGAGAGAAGTGACCTTGCATGAGACCACACCCTAGGATCTGGGAGCCCCTGTCTAAGTTTTGCAGGATCTGCACACCTGGGGACTCTCTGGCTAAGGCCTGACCCAAGAAGGCCTCCATTATCTTTGTGTGGTCTCCAGGGCTAGAAGTGTGAGCAAGGCCAGCACTGATAAGGAAGAGCTGGTTGCGTCTTCTCAGAGGTGAGGCAGGAAGTAGAAATCGTGGGAGAACTAGTCTACAATTCCTGAGGCCTATTACCCAATGGACTTGTCTAAGCAGGGTGGGAGATAGGAGCTGCAGAAAGGATCAAGTCACTACTGCTCCTAGAAGCTAACTCTAAAGGGGAAATGCTACATGATTTAAGGAGTTATGTGTAGCTGGGCATGGTGTTCTGTGTCTGTAGTCCCAGATATTTGGGAGGCTGAGGTGGGAGGATCACTTGAGCCCGGGAGTTCAAGACCACCCTGGGCAACACCTTTCCCTGTCTCAAGAAGTAAAAATGACGGCTGGGCGCAGTGGCTCATGCCTGTAATCCCACCACTTTGGGAGGGCGAGGCAGGCAGATCACAAGGTCGGGAGTTTGAGATCAGCCTGACCAACATAGTGAAACCCTGTCTCTACTAAAAATACAAAAATTAGCCAGGTGTGGTGGCTTGTGCCTGTATTCCCAGCTACTCGGGAGGCTGAGGCAGGAGAATTGCTTGAATCCAGGCGGCAGAGACTGCAGTGAGGCAAGAACATGCCATTGTACTCCAGCCTGGGTGACACTAAGACTCCATGTCAAAAAAAAAAAAAAAAAAAAAAAAAAAAAAGAAAAAACAAAAAAAAAAAAAAAAAAAAAAAAAAAAAAAAAAAGTAAAAATGATGCAGCCATAAAAAAGACCAAAATTATCTCCTTTGCAGCAACATGGAAACAGCTGGAGGCCATTATCCTAATCAAATTAACACAAGAAAGGGAAAACAAATAGCACATGCTCTAACTCTCTCACTTATAAGTGGGAGCTACACATTGGGTACACATGGACAAAAAGATGGGACCCACAGACATCGGACTAGGAGAGGGGGCAGAGAGGCGGTGGGGTGAGGGTTGAAAAACTGCCTATTGAGTACTATGTTCACTACCTGGGCAATGAGACCAATTGTCCCCCAAACCTCAGCGTTAACGCAGTATACCCATGTAACAAACCTGCACATGTACCCCCTCACCCCAAATGTAAAGTAAAAGTTGAAATTATATATTCAAAATAAGTGCCCAGCGTGGTGGTTCATGCCTATAATCCTAGTATCTTGGGAGGCTGAGGGTGGTGGATAACTTATGCCAGAAGTTCAAAACCAGCCTGGACGATGTGGTGAAACCCCATCTCTACTAAAAATACAAAAAATAGGCCAGGCGCAGTGGCTCACACCTGTAATCCCATCACTTTGGGAGGCCGAGGCAGGCGGATTGCCTGAGGTCAGGAGTTCGAGACCAGTCTGGCCAACATAGTGAAACCCTGTCTCTACTAAAAATACAAAAAAATTAGCTGGGTGTGGTGGCATGCACCTGTAATCTCAGCTACTTGGGAGGCTGAGGCAGGGGAATTGCTTGAACCAGGGAGGTGGAGGTTGCAGTGAGCTGAGACTGTGCCACTGCACTCCAGCCTGGGTGACAGAGTGAGACTCCATCTAAAAAAACAAACCAAAACCAAAACAAAAATTAGCCAGGTATGGTGGTGGATGCCTGTAGTCTCAGCTACTTGGGAGGCCAAGGCAGGAGAATCACTTGAACCCGGAAGGTGGAGGTGGCTGTGAGCTGAGGTGATGCCACTGCACTCCAGCCTAGGTAACAGGCTGAATGAATGAATGAATGAATGAGACATGCAACCTCAGTGCAACTGAGGACCAAGGCTGTGGGACCACAGGTTGGGGGGTGGCTACTTTGCTGAAGGAGAAGTGGTGACCAGGCAGCCCTCCAACTGACTCCTGAGGGAGAGAGGTGGTGCCTTCCAGGCAGAGGACATGCCAGGGAGGAAGCTCTGCTAGTATGAAAGCTGCCAGGCTGCAGGAGGGCTGCTCAGTGTGACTGGAGTGGAGGGCATGGCCATATGGAAACCAGGCTGGGCAAGTCCAGGGGTGAGGAGGTGGGCTGTGGACAGGGAAGGATCTTGGCGTGATGTTCCAGAGAGGCTGCTTGGACTACAGGGTGAAGGGCAGAACAGGAAAGGAAGCAGCTGCCACTGTCTGGG